GCAGAACCAGGGATTGAACTCAGGCCCTTGTGCTTGCCAGGGAAGAGCTTATTCCACTGAGCCATCTCCCCAGCCCTGCTTTTTCTGTCTTACACCTACTATATATGCTAAGCATTGCTACATGCTAACATACAATGATGAATAAATCAAGTGTGATTCTTTTCATATGAAATTATAAAATAAATTTGATGTGATTTAATAAGTGATTCTGTCTCTCTATAGTCATATCCTATTGTGTTTGTTGTTTCTTTTCTTTTTCTTTTTTCATTTATGTATTTGGTACAGGGTTTTACCACGCAGCTCAGACTCATAGTGATCCTCCTGTTTTCAGCCTCCCCAGTGTTGGGATTAGAGGCATGTGCCACTGGGGGCAGGGCTGGCACAATGTGTTGCCGGGGATGGGAACTTGGTCCCTGTGCTTGCCAAAGCAGGCACTTAGTCCACTGAGCCATCTCGCCAGGCCTGTTTCTTTTTTTGTCTTTTTAAGATAAGGTCTCACTGCATAGTTTAGGGTAGCCTTGAACTTACTATGTAATCCACTGCTGGCCTTAAGCTCATGGTGATCTTCCTGCCTCAGCCTCCCAAGTGCTGGGATAACAGGCATGAACCATCATGCCTGGCTTGTGTTTGTTGTTTCTTTTTTAGGACCTTTTTTCCAGATGACTTATTCACAAATACTTTGACAATATTATAAGTGCCAGCACTCTACTAAGCATTTGATAAATATTAACTCACTTAAGTTTTATAACAACTTATGAAATAGGTATTATTTTAGCTACATTTTATCTATGAAGGGGCATAGAGAAGTTGAAGTAATGCTACATAGCAGAGCAGTGATAGAATTTAACCTTAGATAATCTGGCCCTAAAATTCATGCTCTTAACCGATATTATAAACTTCACACACTGAAAACAATCCATTGGATCTTTTACCTTTCTAGGTGGAGCCAACCTCCATAATTGTAGTCTACAGTCTCAAGCATGTAATACAGAACATATACACACAGATAAACACAGTGTCCTTGAGAGCCCAGGTGTGGACTGGACCAACCCAGCAGCAGCAAGGGGAGTCTTTTGGCTGCAGAATTACATCTATTACTTACTGACTGACAGTAAGGCACAGAAACAAACTAAAATAGAAGGGTAAAAGGAGGGAGACAGTGGTTGGAGAGAGAGACAATAGGAGCTTTTCTAAGAAAAATTCCTGCAAGTTAGCTCAAGACTGAGTTCCACATTTCTTAAAACCAGGAAAATAGGATGTGTTACATGACTTTTATTATGTGATGGAAGAAGGGGCCTTCACACACACAGATGCACACACACACACACACACACACACAGTAATTCAAAGCTCTTATATGTCACTTGGTACAGTACAACAGTATGCTAACCAGCCCAGTAATAATATTTATTGGCTGTAGGGGACTCAGGTCAACAATTTCTGACATTGCCAGTCAAGCAGAAGACCCAATACTATTATGGGCTACTGGATTCTTTTAGAATACTTTGCTGAGTTTACACACCTATAATATTCAAATAACGGAACTTAACCAAAAAAGGGGATACAGATGAATGTCCATTTTGTATCTGTGTATTCAAAGTGGTTAGGATAGATATATAGTTACATTCTCTTAATGAATAGAGGGATTTGTTTTAATGGTGTTTGTAAATAGGATATCATGTCTGCATCTTGTACAGCAATTAACCACTAGGAAGAATGTATGCAATGTGTTAATCATTGAAACTGTCCTACCAATTTGATTTGAAACTGTCTCTTTGCTATTTGTTTCCCAATAAAATTATGGAAAAAATAATTAAAAAATATTTATTGAATTTGGCACTGGCTATGTACACGACTCAGATGGAGGCTAGGGGAGAAGATTGTGGAAGACAAAAGATTCATGCCTTTAAAGATGCTTATAACCAAACAAGGAAGGATGCCGACAACCCTTGTGAGGAACCCAAACAAGTTTTAAAAATAAACATAACAAAATCAAAATTATAGCAAAGCATCCGGGAATCATTGCACAGGCAGGGGTCCGTCATGATGGAGTCTCTCGGGAAGTGGGTTTTGATCCTGGATTTCAAGCAAGAGTCTCGTTCTGCTAAGATTGGAAAAGCATTTCAGAGCCAGTCGTGAAAGTGAAAATACTTCAGTCAAGTTTGGGGAAAGGAATGACTGGTACTCAGAAGGTTGGTACCAGCAATAAGAAAACAGGAAGCTCTGTCCTTCATTTCTCCTCCAACTGGAAGAGGTGGCTGGAGCTCGAAGGTGTGTACCTCATTTTAGGCAGCAGTCATATTCTGAAAATGCAAAGCAGTCGGAAGTCGAGCAGCTTCTACCCTTAAGAACAGGCATTATTAATTTCATTTTGTAGTTGAGGAAACAGGTCAGCAGCGAAGTTTAGGAGCTCTTAGTGACTCAGTCGTGTAGCTACTTAAGTGTAGAACCCGAACATAAACCGGTTTGTCTCTACCCAAGCTTTTGTGTCCCATACACAGTTTTGCAAGTTGAACATTTAATAAACATTAGAGACGATGTTTATTTTAAGAAGTACTACATTTTCTTGCTAAGTTAAATTCTATAGAAACATTTTTGCCGAAGCTTGGGGGTCAGTGGAGCTTTTCTGCATGCACGGTAGTATTTTCTTTCTTTCAACACCAAATACCTTGCCCCACCTGACACTAGATGATGGTAACCAAAAACATCTTTAATACAGTTTCCAGGTTGCCCGTCCACTAAGCAGATAACCCTGCAAAGCAATGTCTGGCTCAAACCCACGTTTAAGGGAAAGAACAAAGTTTCTCCAAAGGCCTGAGTTACAAGGAGAGACCGGGAAAAGTTTCACTCTGGTGCACAGCGAAGCAAGCCGTCCGGCTGCCAGCCGGGAAGAGCCCACGGCCGGCGCCGCGAGGCGTGGCCGGGCCGCGCAGTCTGCGCATGCGTGCGGGCCGGGCGACGCCGACTCCCTACCGCCTCGCGCGTCGCACTCTCGGCCCAGCGGGTGCCGCCCCTCTTGCCCGCGAGTCCAGGCGCTATGGCCGATCCCCGTGTGAGGCAGATCAAGATCAAGACCGGCGTGGTGAAGCGGTAAGGAGCTGCGGCGCTCGCGCCCCCGCGGTGGCCTCACGGCGGCCGACGGGCGGGCGGAGCTCGCAGGCCCGAGGCGGGCGGCGGG